CCAACGATATCCTAATTTCATTTAATAAAACTTAAGGCTATATTGCTCTGTTTATGTAAACACTATATATTTGAACAAGAGATAAGAATGTTATTATTGATTGATTATTTGTTGGCTGGACAAACAACCAGATATCTAATCAGTAACAATAATAGGTTTGCAAACAAGTAACACAAGGCTCTTGTCCTGCTGAAAGTCATATTCAAGAAAACTATATGCAAAAATACAACAGCATGTACAATGAATTCCTTTGCAGTCACGCCAATCAGGAAGTTTCTGTAAAGAGGGTGTCACAAATGTGACAGATGACTGTTTGTAGACGAAAGAGAGTCATTCCTTTCAACAGATGAAATGAAAACTCTTTTACTTAAAGTGTGTATTAATTCAATATCAGTTCATTTCATGATCATTGGAATTGTGTCTATATAGATCTACCAATAATCACTATGAATTTATGTACTAAAGTTAAAAATATTTTCAACAAATTAATGTAAACGAATCTAATAAATCACCTGCGTAATAACAATTTACAACCAGAAGCTAATATTTAATTTCTGCTCTTAAATGTTTAAATACATCTTTAATTGTTGAAAAATATGATTTCTTGATACCAAAAAGATTAACGAACAGGTAATATTTTTAATATATCTACTTAAATAATCATTTCGTACTTAAATGTTCAAATATGTTCGTTTTAATACACCTTCAATCGCTGAAAAATATGTTCTCTCAGACTTGATACCAACAAGTTTGACGAACAGAATTCACACATTCCGACCTGGACAAATTGACGCACATCAATTAGTGTCTCTTTGGACCAGCAAAATGTCAGAAATGGTTCTATCATTTATGATATAATTTTGTTACTATGTGCAATCATTTTCAGAACTTCAGAATCAACGATATCCAGATCATTTAATGCTTCATTTGCTTCTGTTCTCGTTATTTGTAATAAGATAATCATTATGATATTTAGTCATACAGTTTTGCTATTTACTTTCTCGATATTTTAAATTCGCGGAAAAAAAGAAATTCAATTCTATTTTTATGCGAATTAAAAAATTTCGCAAAAATAAATTTTCGCTAATTTGTTAAGTATTATATTATAAAACAAAGTTGAAATTCCGGGATACATAGTCTCGCCTATTCTTAATAGTCCGAATTTTTTTTCCGAGAATTTTACGAATGAATTTATAATTGCATTTTTAATTCAGTGCATATTATCCTGTATGACATGCAATAAAGGATTATCTACTGATTACACCGGTGCTAGAAAACCCTGTCTTACGCCCCCATGCAGGACAAGTCGCGTGCGTTAAATGACGTCATTGCCGCGTGCATTTTATGAATGAATTGCGTTCTTAGAATGACGTCACTTAACCGTTATGAATGAAGTTGTAGAAAACAGTGCGTAATGAGAATATCTGTTTTCGTAGTTTCTGTTCTGAAAATAATTTATATGTTATCATGCATGAAAAAGAATCAAACACCGGCTGTCGATGCAGACGGGAATATCTAGCTCTCGGGTAACTGTTTAGTGGAAACTCGAAAGAGCCTCGTTACCGCCGTAAACGGTCACTCTCGAGCTAGATATTCCGGTCTGCACCGGCAGCCGGTGTAAGATTCAAATAGTCTTTAATTGTAACATTGGTCTATTTCAAGGGGAGATAACTTCTCCAATATTTTTCTACCTGTTCTTACATGATATCGAATAACACCTGCAAGACAATATTGACATTGTCCTAAGTATCAAATATCAATTTATTTATTGTTATATGCGGACATTTGAACAATCATTATTTATAAAATATATTGAAAATGTTAAATATATAAATGTTTAAGTCAGAATTAGACTGTCCTCACATAAACTTAATATCGAGTTCGGAACAAGGAATGACGAAAGTGTACTTTTTGTTAAATGAATGATATTCAAGACGAATTTCTTTTCAAATGAATTTTATATTCGCGTGTCTGTCTGTTTTCCAATACAATACAATCCAAAATATAAATACCAAGATGAAATGATTTGACTAAAATATTCTTTATAATTAAGTCTTGTTTTGTTTTGATTTAGTATTGTTTAGTTTTGTTTATTTGTCTGCTGTGTGTTGTTGTCTTTTTGTATATAAAAACGTAGAAAATCAGTTAACGTATTTAATTTATCATATAGATATAAATTCAATTATTATTATATTGATCATGACTTATTGACGGGAAGTAAATGCTAACATATTTGTTATGTAAAGTTACATAAGTTATTCCCCTTCATTTATCACTCACTATTTTTCATTAAAACTGCGAGTTTTCTTTTCTATTACCGAATTTTTCAAACATAAAAGAAATTGTAGTGTAGCTTTATTTGATAATGTTAGGTAAATATAAACAAAGTCTTATGTTTTCATATGTTTTTAAAGTAATAACTGATCTCATTAAAAATTCACATATTTCATAAACCATTATTTTGCAATTTTATATGTCCATGCCATGTGTCATTTATGTAAGTATGTTCTATTTAAATTAAACGTAGTATGGTGATTAGCTTTTAATGCTTAAAACAAGAAATAAAATTTCTGTTCTGTTCTGTTATGTTCTGTTCTGATAATGATATGGACGGGTATGAATTATGATGATGATGACGATGGTGTTCAGGAAGATGATGATGAAGGTGGTGATAAGGATGATCTCTATACTCGACAAATCGACGAATCGACAGAATAGCCTTCCATCCATCCATCCATCCATCCATCCATCCATCCATCCATCCATCTATATTTCTAATTTATCTATCTAAAAATAGAATATCCATCTCTGATAATGTAGTTTTCTTTTTCATGAAATAAGAGCCCCATTTATATGAATGTATAATTGATTTTTATTCTACAGAACAAGCTTGTTTATCGACAATTTCCAGGGCTGACAGGCGATATAACTCTTCTTGCCTTAGCAATAATATTCTTCATGATAACGCCTGGATTTGTTCTTAAGCAATTGATCATATCAAATCTATTCATAAGGTGAGGATTATTATATCTTAACTTTTACTAAGCTATAAGTAAAACTTATTATCATTTGTCAGACCAGCATTCACATATGTACGGTCTCTAAATTGTTGAAGGACCTTTAACCTTATGTCTGATAATTGAAAAAAAATATCCTCATTAGTAACAGCAAACTTTATTTTAAAGCGATTGTAAATAATTTGTTTTATGATTTTAGAGCATGTATATAATTTCCTGATATGAAGAAGTTAGAGCGTAGAGTAAAATTAGTTGTTTTTAAAAGCAGTAAAATGTATACATGTACTTTAAAATGACTAGATATGTCTGTAAAACTCTATTAAAATCGTTTTAATTTCTTTGACAAACTTCTACGACATTAAAATTTTAGGCCGTTAGGCCACTGGGCCGAATAGGCTGCCAACTTCACAAAAATGATAACATTTCAAAAAAGTGTTCTCAAAGTGATTTTTGTGTTTATATATCTTTTTAATAACCTCAAATAACAAGACTTGTTTTAAGAACTTCATTAAATGCCGTTTTTTATTGTTTTTATAATATTCTGCAACATTAACATTTTATGCCGCTGGGCCGCCAACTTTTCAAAAATGATAAAAAAAATTTCAAAATGATATTCCTGTACATATATCCTCTAATTAATTTCAAGTAACAAGAATTTTCGTTAGAATATGATTAATTACCGTTTTTATTATGTTTACAACATTTAATATTAGGCGATCAAGCCGCTGGGTCGCTAGGCCGTCAACTTCACGCCGCCAGGCCGCTGGGCCGCTAGGCCGTCAACTTCACGCCGCCATGTCGCTAGGCTGTTAGGCTGCCAAGCTGTTCCTTGAATGAGAATTAATATTACAGTATTTTCAGCGGATGTTATATTTCATAGCAACTTATTTTATTATGACTTTCTTGTTGCTAAAGTAAACCGATTTCCATGGAAACAGAGAAAAACAAGGCCTAACCGAAAACATGTAAACATATAAAGATGAGAAACTTTTTTTTTAAATGAGAGATAGCGGTCTGTTTATTCCACACATCCTGTTCCATAGCATTAAGGCCAAACACATTTTCTGTTTTCTCAGCCAAACAAAACAACAGTTTGATGGCGTCTTCAATTTTATGAGTTATAATGTACGAAACATGTTATAAGATGATACTTTCAGTTTAAGTTTTAATTTGGCAAATCGGCATTATACTGTAATTAACTTACCTTTGGCCAATTAAACAAATAAAATCGACGAATATGGCAAAACATATGACAGCATACATTTATATAGTTCACAATATACACGAATAAAATATAAGCAAACATGTACATTTACAAAATTTAAGAAGCAGCCTCCGTTTCAAGACATATCTTCCTTAACTGGAAAGCCTCATATATGTATTTTGCAGGTTTATAGAACTTACATTTAATACTACAAGACAAAATATTTACACATTTCTGTACATTAGGCCAAGAATATAAGATGATAAAAGCAATAGACAAGTAGAGTGTAAGATTGCATATTTTTAGAAAGAACAATCAAGTTTTTGTCAACAAACTTATGATATTTATTAAGAAGTATCTTAACAAAAAGGTTAATACTACATGCAGTAAATAAGTAACTATATCGAGAATTTTTCCAATCATTTCATCGACTCTTTTGGTTTGTTGATTATCTTTTCTGTCTAATAACACTAGTCATTTAATATCAAATAATTCCCTCTTTTAGATAAAATGTACATCATATATATTTCAAACGTTTTGTTTTTTCGATTCGAACTTAAATCAGCCCTAACATACAGGCATAATTTTACTGCATTTACATATAAAATGAATTGAAAAAATAGTGCTGTCTTGATGGTTATATGGTTAAAGCAAAGGAACAAGTGAAATGGTAATTTCTGCAATATGTGATAAACATTACGAAGAAACGTGTTTTCCTAAGCCTGGCCTAATATTAATACCTCATTCCTCAAATCTTTGCTTCATTTACCAGTACAAATTTGACCAGTTTACAACAACACAACATGTTTCGCTTAGATTGTTTTACTTTTGTTTTTATTGTTACTGCATTTGTGAAGTGTTCAAATTATGAAAGACTTAAATACCGGGTTAATTATCTGGAAGAAAAACTGTTTCATGATTCAAGAGAATTTCGAGGAGACATAGCGTTATTGAACTTGAAATTTAACACATCTTATGCTGACCTGAAGGAAAGTCTTCCACAATTTGAAGAGAGAAAATGTCAGGACAACACGGGAAAGAATTGTCATGATGAGGTTTATGAGAGCTTGGTTGTTATGAAGCGCACACTTTCTGAAGAAAAATCTATTGCACGGAGATCAATTTCTGAATTAGAAACCAAAGTTATAAATAACTTAAGCCAAATAATCGTTATGTTCAATGATATCAAAAATGAGATAAATGAAATCAAATTAAGCCAAAAAGCTAACGAAACTTGGCTAGAACAAAAGAATGTGGAAAATACTGAAGAAACTTGCAACCTCAAAATTGATAAAATTACAGAGGAGACAATGCGAATGTCTGAGATTCTTTCAAGACACGTTGAAGCACAAAGGATTCTATCGCAAAGCTTATGGCATATTTTCGGAAACTCGTTTTATTTCATCGGCAAGGAATCAGTAAATTGGTCGCAAGCAATTGACACTTGTAAAGCTTTAGACGCCTACATGGTCCAAATTGAAGACAGCAATGAAAGTAAATTTATCACTGACCTAGTCAAACCAACGTTCGCAGAAAGTAAAGGCTTCGGAGTATGGATAGGAGGGAGTGACATGCAGAACGAAGGAGCTTGGATCTGGGAACACAGCAAAGCAAGAATTGTTTTTAGTAATTGGGGTCGCAACGAGCCAAATGGAAACAAGCGCGAAAATTGTTTACATTTATACAAAAATGTAGGTTGGAGTTGGAATGACGCAAGATGTGAACTTAAAATGGGATTCGTATGTGAGAAATAAATCTAAATGTGTTTTCAACCTTATTATAACTTATTAGATATTATGAAATAGAGTCGGACTAGTATTACTGTATATAAACATGAGATTTATAATTGTATAAATTGTACATAGTTTAAAATGATTTATAAGCCATACGTGACCGGGTGTTATACTTTGTTATATGTATGTTTCTTATATTGTGCATTACACATTGTCACAGTGTCACTCTAATAAGATTTACTTACTTTCTTATAAGGATCGGGCTGATCTTATGCCAGGAATCAACTAAGTTAAACTTAGTTTTTGTTATGTCTCTGATACAACATGTTTGTATTTGATATGATATGATATAAAATGTCATTATTTTGCAAACATATAATAATATACATACATGTACGTTGTTTTTTATTATACATTCTTCACTCTTACATGATTTAAATAACATAATCAATCGCAAGAACAATATGTTTGTGTATGTTATAAAAAAAAATGATGTATTTTTTTTTTCATTAAATATCATTTTGTTTAACTTGTTGTTTAACATAATGATAGTGTAAAAATGACTTGAAGTTAATTCAGTTGAGTTTTCATGAATAAAATATAGTTTTAAATTTTTTGGGTTTTCTTAAAGGGTAGCGTATAAAAAGTGTTCCCTTTTTTTAGGGGAGTGTATCGAAAGTTAGCTTTTCCATAAATTTCAGCTTCCAAAAGGTTTGAGTATATTTAGAGTTGGAATTTTAAAGTAAAGCGTATTTTAAAGTTTGTATTTCTAAGCGTTGCATTTCTTAAAGTGTAGTGGACGTTTCACAAACATTAGGTGCTTGAAATAAGATTTACATAAATTAAAGTGCATTCGGTGAAATTAACTGTAGTTTGTTCGCCATAAGTTGATTTTCATATTGAATTAAAAATGAAATAGGAATACTGGATTGCGTTTCCGTGATAGCTAAGTCATATACGATTTATTTCGATATTCTGTCCAAGCACTGTCTCATTTAATGACCCTGATATCCATACTTTGATTTTTTTAGTATGTAACCAACTTTAAGATATAATTGTTCTTTAGAATTTTTATTTAATGTGTGTTATGTTATTTGCAACATGCAATTCAGAATTTTGTTGTCATTTTAATCTTTGTCCAGGTAAGTTGTGTAAGTAAAATGTGCTCGTGTGAAAATGCTGCAAGAAAACATTTTTATGAACAATATTTGCATGTGTTCTTAGAATTCTGTTTCGTAGAACTTTATACATATTCTCAAATAATTTCCACCTATTCTAATGTAAAAGATCTTATACAAATAAAGAAAGAAAACCTTTATTTGCTTGCTTTTATTGAAATGTTGTTTATTTGTTTAAACCACTATTTGATACTGGTAGATAATAAATGTCATTAGCTCCAATATAGTCGCCGCTTTGCCCGTCCTTCCGTCCGTCCGCATTTTCTTGCCCAGGGCACAACTCTGAAACTACAAGAGGTATCAACTGAAACTACAAGAAGTATCAACAAGGAAATTTGTTAGTAGAAAGATCTCTTTGAAGTAGATATATCTCTTTGAAGTGCAGTGCACAAGAGCCGTAACTCTGCCTTGTCTTATTTGGAATTATTGCCCTTTCTTCCTCTACCAATTCGGAGAGCATCACCCGTTTCGACCGGTTCATCTTTGTTGAACAAAAAAGTCACTCAAACTTTGACCGAGTCCAGCTGGATTAGAAACACAGGTCCCTTGATTGCCTTTTTACATCACTATTGCATTAAAGCGTTTTTCGTGCATTCTAAAGTGAGTTTAGCTTTTACGATATTATGACGTAATATTGACTACCAGAGCGACAAGCTATATATTGCTTCGATTCATTTTTATTGACACATTTTCGATTTATGACAAACACCACTTTGTATTATATCACCGCAGCTCATGAATAAAATGAAATTCACGGGTGAAAAAAGTCAAATAAAATATCGGCCAGATTAAGCCGGATTCCGAACAAAGTGTTTCCGCTCAAGTATCCTAACCACTACACGTTATCGCAACCACAGCATTATGCTCAATTTATTAAGTTATATAACAAACTTACAATACATTATTCTCACTTTCTTTCGTATTAGGAAATGTAAAAAGACCAACACTTACATACACTTTTTCTAAGTGCTCCAATTGAAAAATCATATTCTTCTGTTTTCTTAGGTAACTTATGCTTGATGGACATGCATACCTGTAAACCTAGGACTGAAGATTGTTCGAAAATAATAACATATAAATAAACGCTGGTCACCTTCACAATTATAGTATTTTTATAACATGATGATATAAAGGCGGGGGTGAAAATGATATATATATATTAGAAGCTTTCGGTGTCAAAGATCTATAGGTTGTTGGTACAACAAGAAAGAAAACGAAATTACCGTTTAAATGTGCGTGCGTATACAGATCATGTTTGCTTAAGTTTGTTTTCGATAAGCAATAATTCTCGCTTCAGAAGTAACATACATCGTAAACGAAGTAGTATTTTTGTATGTACCATGCCACAAGTTCAGAATGAGTTATAAGTTATAAGATATACAAACATATGAAGAGTCGAACACATAAAAACATAGGATAAAATTTCATATTTCAAAAATTCATTTTCAAACAAGAACACGCTATTAGCACATTGTTCTTAAAGATTTACTATGTCAGCGAGTTTGAACGGTCATATATAATACTTCTGTAAATAGATCTATAGCCCCGCAGAATAAATCACAGGCACGAGTATCGGACCTGGGAAGAAAAATTATGACCATTGATAAAAAAATACCTGTGTTCATCTTAAAAGTGTCAAAAACCAAAAAAAAAAAAAATGTAAATTATGACCCCCTTTAAAAATATACTATAAATTAAGAGAAGGCCGGAAACTCCAGATTCGAGCCTACGAGCAATGGATTCATTTCCCAGGCCGTTGTGAAAACAATTGTCCAGACAATTAAAAAGTTATCTGCACTGTGCATTTAAAGAAAGGACATAACTTTAGATTTTAACCTTTTAATATCCAATAACACTTTTTTCCTAATGATTACTGGTAAAAGGGAGATAACTACGACAACAAATGCTTAGTACATATATAACCTTTATGTTATCTTAGAAATATTATAATTTCAGAGCAATTTACCGTGTACCTCCGAAAGAGGTACAATTACGTATTTGAGTAAAATTCAAAAGTCTTTCGTACAGCAAATTACATTACTGAGCTGATATTTTAATACAATTTTACCATATGAATTCAAATATATTTGCACGGATTTTAAGATAAAATCATTTCTGGGGCATGATGGGCCTGTAAGTAGTCATAGGTGTTAGGTTCTGAAGATAACTGTGCTTTTAAATAATTAAAATATTATACGTCAAACAGGTTGATCAAACTCCTGTTGTTACCAGTAGTTAAAACAGTATTTTCTGATTTATTATATTGTAACTACTCCAGCGGATTTTTTTTTCTTATTATGACAACATACTAAGTATCTTACCATTTATGTTTTTAGTAGGTCGATTTTTCCCCCGAAATGTAACACATATTTGGTCCGGTCAACCTAGATAGCTAACTAGGAATTGCCCATTTCTTCGCAAGTAAAATAGAGAAAAACAGAATCCCTAAAGAAAGACCAACACGGCAAAATTTGTTAAATGTTGCATCATGCTCATGGACAGTACTGGAAAGTGCAAGTTACCGTCCACGCCCCCTAGCACCGGCTTAAGCTGCATTCAACATGTAAACACTATAATGGCTAAATTTTGAATTAAGAAACATCCGCAGATGTGTTCATACGGCGGTCATCATGGAACCTTCAATGTGACATAAGTGCCATTCCATGAAAAGCGGCGTATCGTCCCCAAGTAAAATAATGCGTATGCCCTCAACGAGAAAACAATGGGTGGAACACAATAAAATGGAAGTTTGAAAGTGGATCTGAGGTTATGAAAACTGCATATCACAGACAAGATATTACTGACTTTTATGTATGACATGTTTTCTCATCTGTATAACCATGAATCGGTCTAAGACAAATATTTAGTAAAGCGTCTACAGAGCGGCCTCCTATGTAGAGCAATAACCTTTTTACAACATTTTTTTATTATTTTTTCCAAATTAAAAAATTTCCATTAAATTTCACCTCTGAAGAGCAACACCTCTAAACAACTACCAAACTATTTGTCTCCCAAAGGGTTTTGAATTACAGAAGTTAAACTGTAATAAATATAAATAAAAAGAAAGTGGTAGACAACATCTTGTACATCTATCTTTTGAACATTATATTATGGTCATCATAAGGTTCTTTTATTGAAGAAATCTATTAAAATCTAGGAAATTCTTGTTAAAGATGTCTAATTTGAATGAAAAAATGCACACTTTATGTTTTTGAAGCTGCCACATATTTTGTATTTTGGTTATATTTCGATATGTATGGCACATTGTTAACTGTTACAATTTCATAATCATGATAACTCTCTTTTAACAGCATCTTACAACTTTTAAATTCCTTTCGAAATTATATATTATTCTTATAAAAAATGGTTCACGTTAAACAACATTGAGATACGTGTATATTACTTGTTGAATATCAGCTTATCATTCATAGAGACCAGATATCGGATACAATTCAGAAGATGAAATGACAAGCGTTTATATTAAATAAAAAGTAATATTTGTTTAATTAAGTATAAACTCAAACTTATTGCACTGATTCGTAAGCATTTTGATATAATTATATAACAAAAAAAAACAAACAAAAAAAAACACACACACACACACAACCTGAACTCAGCCATTCGTCGATTTCATGAACCATGTGTATATGCTTAATTTTATCATTATAAAATGTGTTGATAAGATTAAATCAACTGGCAAAGCTGTTTTCTGTTTGCCTGGAATGTTTACAGATATGCCATATTTTTTATCTGCATCTATTTTAAACCTAAACATGTTCGTTATATAAGTCAGTCAGGCAACATAAGAAATATTTTAAAGGAACACCACTTAGAATTTTCTGGTAAAGCGGAACTGGGCATGATTTTCCGAGATAAATTTTCCATTTGATTTAGGTCTAGACAATTAACTTCTGTGCAGAATTTCAGACTATTCGCTCACTTCGTTTTCAAGAATAGCTAAATGTATTCTTATTGTTAAAAAAATGACCAACATTGAAAAGAGTGACACAAAAATGGGATTTTAAATTTATTTCTGATAATATATCTTAATTATCTTTTGCGTATTTGCCTGTGTAAGTGTTAAACCTGATCTATGTAAGGAATTCAAATTTTATGTTTTCAGGCCTTTAGACCTCAGTGGAGTTCCTTTAAAACTTAAACACCAGCGTTTAATCTCAGCAGTAAGACGTCTGAAAGCATTATCGTACAAGAATTACTTTGGTCGTATCAAGTGTTGTATTCAGGCAGGAGGTACAAAATGACAAAATTATCGCTATTAAAATATCAATTTGTGTTTTGTATGCAAATCGTCTTTTGCAGTAAATTGTCACGTTTAGAAAAACGCGTGGACATAATGGAGCAAAAGATGTTGAATGATGCGATGGCGTTTCGGGCAGATATATATGATATCTTTGAAAAGTTGGATAATGTTTTAAAAAACTCGTCACTCAATTATATTGAAAACAAACCAATTGTTTCCTCAAAATGTGACGCAAGTGAAATTGAAAATGTTCTTCTACTCGTCAAAAAGGCTGTAAATGAAGAAAAAATAAATACAAGGAAAGTAATAAATGAGCTACGTACGGAGTTTCATCGCAAAATTGAAAGGCAGATGAATCAGACAAAAGAAACTGACATATTATTTGACAAACTTTCTTTGGTAGAGGAACAAATTAATTCAACGGCGAGAGAAACATTGCAAAACGAGGAAAACATTCATGATATGCGTGTAACCCACAATGAATTAAACAATGATATACAATCTTTAATAAAGTTGGAAGAAAGAAACGAAGACAAAGCTAAAGATGTTGATGAAAATATCAAAAGACTTAATAAGAGGTATGCCTTCTTATCAGCTAGAATAGATTGCAATGGTAAATCATGGCATAGCTTTGAAAAGTCCTGCTACTATGTGGGGAATGAGGTTCTCCTGACCTGGATCCAGGCAAACGAAAAATGCAAGCTGCTGAATGCTACCCTGGCTGAAGTTGAAACCGAAGAAGAGAATGCATATTTAGTCGAACTAGCTGCCAAAATGACACCTGCAGATCAGCTGTACGACGTTTATATAGGAGGAAGTGACTTGAAAAGTGAGGGCGAGTGGATTTGGGAAGGCAGTAAGAGAAGAATATTTGATGTATTCAATAATTTCAAGGGTAATGAACCTAACGGCAACAGGCGTGAGAATTGTCTCCATCTTATTCGCAAATACTCGTGGAATTGGAATGACATTTCATGCGAAACAAAGCTGTCGTATATATGCGAAAAAACACTAAACTATTAAACGTAAAGCTTACAAGAAAACTGTACATTTTCTAGTTTGTGTGAAAATACCAAACATTTCAAAGGCTAATCAAACAATAATATATGCATTCTGTGTGTGTTTTTTTTTTCTTTTTTTTTTTTTTTTTAATATCTGATTTGTTTTTTTTTGTCTAAGTTGTCTTAAACATAACACACTGATGAAGTTTAACAAAATAAATGTTATGTGCAATAGTTAACTGTACATGAATATTTTATCTCGTATACAATTAGACTGTGCAACTCGTGTTGCATTTGTAAACAATCTATCAGAAAAATCAGAAAAGAGCTGATACAAATCTAATATGGTTGAACTTCTTTTTCATCATTATTCAACTAAAACTAAAAGAATATCAAAAGAATCTGCCATAACAGCAAATTTTAGAAGACAACAGCATTCTGTAACGATATTTTAAAATTTTGTTTTGAAAATTAAGTTATCATGAAATTATCAAATAATAGTTGTAACTTAAATTGTCAACTCAGTAATATCATACATGAGCAATAAATTTGGTGAAAGGAGCAGTAAATTCATGCCAATGTTTATTGCAAGGGCAATAGCTAGACGCACATTATTGGCGACCAGTTAAACTTGTTTCCCTTCACATCTCGATTGAACACACAACAATACAAGTATAACGATTAAATACCCGAAATTTATAATTCATTATTGATTTCGTATTTGAACATTTCAACTCCCGATATCTTAGTATTCTGTCTTTTTCGAAACATCACGTCCTTAATTCAATTTTTTAATTGATAAAAAAAGCAGGGGCGTATCAAGATGCAGAGTTTTTTTCCTCCAATGTAATTTGAATTACCTTTTTTTCATGATTGCATGTCATAGCATATTACGTAAAATAAACTTCTCGAATATAAACTTTTCACATTTTATACCATCTATATTCATTAATTGAGAATCTACAGTACAATTCAAATCGATTTATCATATTGTATTAACTAAAAGTTAAAATAGATAATGCAATCTGTTTGCGGTCCTCATAGATAATATTAGTTCAATATGATTAAAATCAGCTCTAAATAACGCTCAGCTATTATGTCTAACCTTGACCAAATAGAATAGAAAGTCCAACACAACAAAACTGAAAATGTTTCAGACTCGGTTTGATTGAGAGTGTCAATTGATTGATTGAGTGTCATTCCATGAAAAGCGGCGTATGGTCCCCAAGTAAAAGAATGCTTTGCCCTAAACGAGAAAAAAATGGGCGGAACTAAATAAAATGGAATTTTGAAAGGGGATCAGAGGTTATGAAGCCTGCATATCACAGATAAGACGTCAAAAGACAAATTTAAAAAGCAGGCAACATATCCTAAAATACGAACATGTCTGGTGATTTTTCACACAGCTTATTATCGGCGAGCTTTCATAATTTTGAAAGCGATGTGGTTTCTAATTTTAACCCTGGAAAGAAACAATGCTGAGAAGGTAATTTTCACGATTTCGAGAACAAACATGGCGTTGTCCATATAGCCGACAGGTAAACCAGCAAAACAATCTTGCCCGTTAAAAACTGACTCTATTATTCCAAGTTAGTTTGTAAAAAATTACTTCAAACTTTTTTTTTTCTAACAAAAATTAACAATTTGTTTAACTTCCACGGATAACGGTATTTTTTCGTACTTTTCTAATGCCTATGTAAAAAACTGGTTTAAAAAACCTTTCTCAGGAACTCCGAATGATAAAGAACACCAAACATGTGCGGTCGTCATCAGATCTTCACGAAAGAAATAAGTAGATCTGAACTTTAGTCAGATTGATATAAGTTAGACAAATAATATTGAAAAAAATCAGATCACTACGTTATGCTATTATATATGGTTAGCTCAATATGAAGAGCGTTAGACTGTGAATCGGGCTACCTGGGTTTGATACCCAGACAGTGCACAGTGACACTTCGTTGTCATTGATTATGGTCATTCACACTGTACCTCTGCCCGGTATGTGCTGTTATCAGTTCCATGCGAAATAGCTGTCCTCACATAAACTTTATATCGAGTTAGGAACAAGGAATGGACGAAAGTGCACTTTTTGTTATATGAATGATATTGAAGACGAATTTCTCATCAAATGAAACTTAAAGTTGTGTCTGTTTTCCAATGCATATCAAAATATAAATACCAAGATGAACTGATTTGAATAAAATATTTATATGAAGTATAGTTTTGTTGTAATTTAGTTTTGTTTTGTTTCGTTTATTTGTCTGTTGTGTTTTTTTTGTATATAAAAACAACGGTGGCACAAAGGTGACATGTGTGTGTTTTTATTTATCTCATGGCCACGAGATACTATGTCGTGGCCACGAGTGACAAAGTTGTCGCCACGAGATAGCTAAGTCGTAGCCCCGAGATAATATGTCGTGGCCACGAGTTACTAAGTCGTAATCACGAGATAGCTAAGTCGTGGCCATGAGATACTATGTCGTGGCCACGAGTTACTAAGTCGTGGCCACGTGATAGCTAAGTCGTGACCACGAGACACTATGCCGTGGCCACGAGTTACTAAGCAATTACGTTGGTTTTGTCGTGACGCGGCTCATATGTCTTATAGGGATGATGACGATGGTGTTGGTGTTGAGGATGATGATGATGAAGGTGATGATAAGGATGACCTCTATACTCGACATATCGACGAATCGACAGAATAGTCTTCTATCTATAAAAAAATAGAATATCCGACTCTGATATTGAAATCAGGAACGTATTAATGTAGTTTTCTTTTTTCATGAAATAAGAGCCCCATTTATATGAACGTATAATTGTTTTTTTTATTCTACATAACACGCTTGTTTATCGTCAAATTCCAGGGCTGACAGGCGATATAACTCTGCTTGCCTTAGTAATGATATTCTTCATGATTACTCCTGGATTTGTTCTTACGCAATCGATCATATCTAATCTATTTATAAGGTGAGGATTATTATATTTTAACTCTTACTTAGATACATGTATAAGTAAAACTTATTATCATTTGTCAGACAAGCAGTCTAATTAGGCTCTGAATTGCTTAATGACCTTTAACCTTACGTCTGAGAATTGAAAAAAATATCCTCATTAGTAACAGCAAACTTTATTTTATAGCGATTTTAAATAATTTATTTTATGATGTTAGAGCATGTTGACTTCTCCTGACCTGAAGAATTTAGAGCGGAAAAGAAAAATTATTTCTTTTTAAAAGCAGTAAAATGTATACAAAGTAATATTTGTCTTCCCTACAAAATACTTAATCACTAAATTCATTTATTGCCAAAAAGCAAAAGATTGTTTAGGTAATTTACCAATAAGAACCTTTTAATAAATGAGCCGTGTCACGACAAAACCAACATAATGGGTTTGCGACCAGCATTGGATCCAGACCAGCCTGCGCATCCGCGCAGTCTGATCAGGATCCATGCTGTTCGCTAAACAACTCTAATACAATTAGAGAAACTGATAGCGAACAGCATGGATCCTGATCAGACTGCGCGGATGCGCAGGCAGTTTTGGATCCATGCTGATCGCAAACCCATTATGTTGGTTTTGTCGTGACACGGCTCAAATTATAACAGGACACCAAAATAAAACGATTCAGAAGACAAATAAAAATGCAAACACTTCTAAGGTATATAGGCCTTTACATTTTTGCCTTGATTACAGAAAATTTGATAATGCATAGTTCCAAAAATGAAATGGTTTGTTCGTAGCCGAGTGGTTCTGGTCGACGTTTATTTCAAACCATATGCCAGTCACCGCTGTGGGTCCGAATCGCTTCAGGGATCTTTCATATGAAGAAGCTTTCAAGTTAAGTTATGAAATGTTGCTTGGTTCAACTCGGGTTTCATTTGTTGCCTGAAATAATGCACCTGATGTCAATTCTTCGCCAGTTAAACTGGAAAGTCGCCATATGGCCATCATAATGTTGGTGCGACGTTTAACCCAACAAACAAAAAGAAAACCGGATAAAAGTTATTTCTAGAAATCTTACTAGACTAAAGATACGCTACGTTGGTACGTCTTTCTACTTTCATATCTCGAGTCTAGAGTAAATATCAAATGAGCTTGTTAACGAGTTGTTTACGCACGTGCAGTTGCAATCAGTAGCAAATGTGCGTTTTATTTATACAGTGCTTATCAGCAACACGATATGCCTGCAGGAAATGTCTTCAATTTTCTAAAACGAGTTTTCTCAAAAAATGTATTTTCCCACGTATATAAAAGCAGCGCTTAGATCATAAAGATTAAGTTGTAGGCAAAGTAAATTATTTCGGTAAACGTTATATGAGCCGTGTCATGACAAAACCAACATAATGGGTTTGCGACAATCATGGATCCAGACCAGCCTGCGCATCCGCGCAGTCTGGTCAGGCCCCATGCTGTTCGCTTTAAAACCTTTTAACAAGTAGAGAAACTGATAGCGAACAGCATGGATTCTGATCAGACGGCGCAGATGCGCAGGCTGGTCTGGATCCATGCTGGTCGCAAACGCACTATGTTGGTTTTGTCGTGACGCGGCTCATATTTATGTAGGAAACACATGAGGGGGAAATTATACACAGAAATACCAAACGCAAAATCGACAAGTCGCTCGCAGACATATGTACGTTTTAAGACATTTGTCAATTAAATATTCAAATATTAGAATAATGCCCCTAACTTGGAAATTTTGGAAATTTAGAAAGAAAGATATAATAGAAACATTAAATCTTGAATTTAAAATCAAACTTTAAACTCGAAATTTTGAAATTTTACCAAGTAAATGATAATCATCAGAAACACGATTAAACAGTTAAGTGTAAAGTTGTTTTTGTTACAGTGACACGAAGGCATCACATTAACGGTTTAATGATCTCCGACGTAAGACCACATCTGCGGATGTTTTTAAATTTAATATTTTACCATTACGTGTTGAATACAGCAAGAGGCATGGACGGTAGCTAACAATCACAGCTACAGTCCATGAACAGGTTCGAACAACATGAACACACCGAGTCTGCAATATTTTCAATTTGTCGACTGGGGCGTTCTATATGATAGTCTGTATTTCTTTGTTTGCTTGTTTTTTTTTGGTTTTTTTTTGTTTTTTGTTGTTTTTTTTTTCCTTTTTTCGGTATCTTCTGTTTTTTTCGTCTGTATGATAATATTTTAATGTGAAATGACATTTTTTGATATAATCCTTGACCCTCATCCCGTTAAATATCTTGTTTTTCTTTAAATCAACGTTGGTGGGAAGATTTCATCAAAGTTAGTTTTTAGTTAAACATAATGGCGGACAAAACACAAGCCCAACCAAGCTTTGCATTAAGTGTTAATATGTTTTAAAGCTGTTACTGGAATGAGAATTGATATTACAGTATTTTCAGCGGATGCTATATTTCATAACAACTTATTTTATTATGTCTTTCTTGTTGCTCAAGTAAACCAATTTCCATAGAAACAGAGAAAAAGCCAGGCCTATCCTGACTGAAAACATGTTTAACATATAAAGATATGAAACTTTTTTTAGGAATCTGTTAATTCGCACATCCTGTTCCATACCATTAAGGCCAAACACATTTTCTGTTTTCTCAGCAAAAAAACAGTTTGATGCCGTTTTCAATTTTACGATTTATAATGTACGAAACATGTTATAAGATGAAACTTTCAGTTTCAGTTTTTATCTGGCAAATCGGCATTATTAACATACCTTTTGCCAATTAAACAATAACATTGACGAATAGTGCTAAGTCATATAACATCATATATAGTTTACAATATAAACAATTAAACATATAAGCAAATATGTACATTTACAAAATTTAAGAAGCAGCTTCCGTTGCAAGACATATCTTCCGAAAATGGAAAGCATCATGTATGTATTTTGAAGTTTTATACGGGTTACATTTACTATTACAAGACATAATATTTACACATATCTGTACATTAGGCCAAGAATAAAAGATGATAAAAGTAATAGACAATAACAGTTCAAGATTGCATATTTTCAGAAAGAATAATCAAATTTTTGTCATCAATCAATGATATTTATTGCACGATAACATAAAGGAAAAATCTTTTATTCACAAAGCTCTTGCAATGCTGCAAGGAAACAATATTTTTAATGATGTTCTTAGAATTCTGTTTCGTGGAATTTAATAAAATAATTTCAAATATGGGGAAATACTTAGTAGCAATTCTGATTAAATGAATACTTTCCATTTTATAAACCTGAAGTTGCTTGAATATATTAAACTGGTATATATTAAATACTTTATATATGCTTTCTTTTAAGTAATAAAAGTCATCCAAAAATCTCGTTTTATTAAATTATATAACAAATTTATAATACCTTTTTCTCGCTCTCGTTCTTATTACAATACAGGAAGGAATGTGAAGACCAATACTTAGATACACTGTTTATAAACACTCTTAATTGAAAAAAAAATCTCGTTTTTCCTTACAACATATTATAGGTAACTTATGCTTGATGGATTATATTCATGCATATCTAGGACTAAAAATGCTCCTACAAGTAACATAAAAATAAACGCTTGTCACAATAATATTATAATATTAATATGATAATGCTTTATTGAGTTATATGTCAAGGAGATGACTTTACATACCCTACATGTTAAACAAGAAGCATTGCGAGATACAAAATAGTCTTTTTGTTGCCATATTTAAATGTCAATAAACTAAGGTAAAATGCTGTATGATTGTATAATTTTTGAAAAATCTGAATCGAAAAAAATAGGAATGCTACTGTGTAAACAAAATGTATTGAAAAATGTTGATCGCTTTAACGAGAAAACAAAAACGAGTTTTGCTTCAAACGGTCAAAAATATACATTTGCGGTGATCCTTATGAAGTACATTAAAATTTGTCAATTTAATGTGAATTAATGTTAGACTATGGGGAAAATGAAGGACGAACAAATGCACTCAAATTGAATTATTTTATTTTTATTTATGTAATTTTATTTTTATTTCGGAAAATTAATTTGTAAATCAAATTATGTTTTTATAGCAAAAACAAATAATTGTTATGAAACTTGTTTTATTTTGGCCTGGCCAATTAAAACGCAATAGAAGTATCTTAACAAATGTTGTTAATACTACACGCAAAGATTAAGTATCAATATCGAGAATTGTTCCAATCTTTTCATCGACTCTTTTGGTTCGGGTTTTTTTTTTTCTGTTTTATAATACTATTCATTCAATATTAAATAATTCCTTCTTTTAGATAAAATGTACAAACCTCCATAAATATTTCAAACGTTTTGTTTTAACAATTTGAACTTAAAACAGCCCTAACAAACAGGCATGATTTACTGCATTTACATATAAAATGAATTGAAAAAAATAAGTGCTATCTTGATGGTTATAGCAAAGGAACAAGTGAAATGGCTATTTCTGCAATATGTAATAAACATTACGAAGAAACGTGTTTTACTAAGCCTAGCCTAATATTAATGTAGGGATATAGCGACCTCATTCAAATCTATGCTTCATTTACCAATACGCGTTTGACGAGTTTACAACAACACAACATGTTTCGCTTGGATTGCTTTACTTTTGTTTTTATTGTTACTGCATTTGTGAATTGTTCAAATTATAAAAGATTTAAAATCCGGGTTAATAATCTGGAAGAAAAACTGTTCCAGGATTCAAGAGAATTTCGAGGAGACATAGCGTTATTGAACATGAAATATAACACATCTTATGCTGACAGCTTGGTTTTTATGAAGCGCACACTGTCTGAAGAAAAATCTATTGCACGGAGATCAATTTCTAAACTCGAAACCAAAGTTATAAATAACTTAAGCAAAATTATCGTTATGTTCAATGATATCAAAAATGAGATAAATGAAATCAAAGTAAGCCAAAAAGTTGATGAAACTAGGCTAGTACAAAAGAATGTGGAAAATACTGAAGAAACTTGCAACCTCAAAATTGATAAAGTTACAGAGGAGATAATGCAAATGTCTGAGATACTTTCAAGACACGTTGAAGCACAAAGGATTATATCGCAAAGCTTATGGCATGTTTTTGGAAACTCATTATATTTCATTGGCAAAGAATCAGTTAAATGGTCGCAAGCAGTTGACACTTGTAAAGCTTTAGACGGCTACTTGGTCCAAATTCAAGACAGCAAGGAAAATGAATTTATCACTGACCTAGTAAATTCAACGTTCGCAGAAATTAAGGATGTCTTCGGAGTTTGGATAGGAGGGAGTGACATGCAGAACGAAGGATCGTGGATCTGGGAACACAGCAAAGCAAGCATTGTTTTTAGTAATTGGGGTCAAAACGAGCCAAATGGAAACAAGGACGAAAATTGTTTACATTTATACAAATATATAGATTGGGATTGGAATGACACAATATGTCAACTAAAAATGGGATTCATATGTGAGAAATAAATCTAAATGTGTTTTCAGCCTTATTATAACTTATTAGATAGTTATAAAATGGTGTCGGACTAGTATTGCTGTATATAGACATGGGATTTATAATGGTTTAAATTGTATATATTTTAAAATGACTTATAAGCCATACGTGTTCGCGTGTTGTAATTTGTTATATGTATGTTTCTTATATCTTGCATTACACAGTATCACTCTAATAAAATTTAATTACTTACTTATAAGGATCGGGCTGATCTTATACCAACTTAGATAAACATTTTTTGTATGACTCTGAAAAAACATGTTTGTATATGATATAATATATATAAAATGTCAGTAGTTTGCAAACATATATTAATATACATACGTTGTTTTTTATTGTACATTCTTCACTCTTTCAGGATTTAAATAACATAATCAACCGCAAGAAAAAATATTTTTGTGTATTTTTAGGAAAAAATGTTGTAGTTTGTTTTTCATCTGATATAATTGTGTTTAACATTTTTTTAAACAATATAATACTGTTATACTATACTTTGCAGTTGATTCAGCGGATAAAACTCTGCATGAATTAAATGTAGATAATTCTTTAGGCGACATGTTAACTAAGATTTAAATATCAGGAACAAAATCAGGATCAGATATAAAAACTGAAATGTTCTCCATTGTTTAGTTTCCTAAATTAAATATATGTATATTGAGTAGATAAATTTGAACTTGGAATAGCATGGTTATGATAATTTGGAATGAACATGTTGATTATTATTTTAAAAGATGTGGGAATTAGACAGTTGATACAAATATCAAATCTTGAGTTTAAAATTAATTCGTTTTGATCCGATTTTTTTCGTTGATTTAATATCAAAATAGCGTTGTTTTTTGTGCAAGTCAGGATTTCTTTTACATTTTGTTTATGCCTCAATTTAAGGAATTTGAAATCAATTTTAATATTATAAAAATAGAAATCAAATCAGAATCATTTTGCCCTGATCTTTTCTTCATGAACACCGGACCTCGTGGTAGACACTAAATCTTTGATGTTACACTGATAATATGAAATGTTTGCTCTATACTGTATATGCAGCTTATTTTAGAATGATATGACGAACTGTATTATGTAGATGTATTGATATATAGTTTAATAGTCAATTTAGTAACTTTACTGTAACAGTAAACTGTTATAAAACAGGCCTAGAAATTGCATTGGTAAGTTAACATTATATTTCTAAGCATTTATTCAATTTTTAATACTAAACAAAATTATTATGATATCTTTCGTTGAATTGACATATAAAAAGAGGTTCAGTTTGATTAATATGTTTAATGACTTGCAAATTGACTTGTACTTGGGATGGTCTATAAAGTTTGAAAAAATAGATAATATGTACTAGTGCGACGCTTATATGCATACATTTTAAAATGTTTTGGACATGTAATGAAAACGGTCATATTTTGGTAATTAATTTGATATTTCTTTTTACATGTTTTGCTATCATTCAAAATTTTTAATCTTAATGGTAAACTGTTCAAAACAAATGTTTAATGTTTCAAATTTGCCGAAATACACTAAAGGATTTTGTTTCAATTTTTGCTGTTGTATTTCATATTATAATAAATATAAAAATAAATCCTATGTATATGGAAGAGGACACTCATAAGCTTTTTATCTTACTACCCATTCAAAAATGTATTTTGTAAATATTTTTCATCTTTTAAAGGTGGTATTGTTGAATAAATATGTTTCAACCAAAATATATCCTCACGAGAAAATATTTAAAATATATATTATAGGTCGCAAAATACAAAACCTGATACAATTGAGAATGTTGCAAGCTCTATCTGATTAAGCTTGTCCATAAAAGTCATACCATTCCGGGATATCTTTAAGTGTAGTGTGTCTTAAAGCATAACACTGTTTTAAAATTACACGTATCTTAAACTCTTAATGTGTTACATTTTTTTAAATGGCACGTATCTTATAATGTAGTTTATATAAACATGAAGCGTAGCTTAATGAGCCGCGTAACATTGCTAATCATAAAGTGTAGTGTATCATAAAATGTGGATATTACTTAATGGTTGCGTATTTTTTAAGTGTAGCTTTTCTTCAATCTAGTGTATCTTAAAGTGTAGCGTATATTAAGGTGTTTTATATTCTAAGTGTAGACTTTCTAAAAGTTAAGAGTATCTTAAAGTGTAGCGTTTATTAAAGAATAGCGTTCCGAAAAGTGTTAAGATTTAGAGTTTTGAACATCTTAAAGTAAAGCATTTCCTAAAACGTTGTATTTTCTAAAGCCTTGCATTTTTTAAAGTGTAGCGTATCTAACAGCAAAATACGAGTCACTTTTGACGTTGCACAAAACGTTAGGTGCTTGAAACCATCATAATATATATATATATATATATATATATATATATATATATATATATATATATATATATATATATATATATATATATATATATATATATATAATATATATATATACAGTACATTCGCTTAATTGAATTGTAGCCTTTTCGTCATCAGTTAATTTTCATATTGAATAACGATTAAGTAGAAATACTGGATTGAGTTCCGTCATATTCGGTTTATTTCGATATTATGTCCAAGCACTGTCTCATTTAACGAACCTGATATCCATTCTTTTTTACATTTTTTGTATGTCACCAACTTTAAGATATAATTGTTCTTTAGAATTTGATTAAATGGTGTTATGTTATTTGCAACATGCCATTCAGAATTTTGTTGTCATTCAAATCTTTGTTCATGTATGTTGTTTAAGTAAAATTTGCTCCTAAGAAAATGCTGCAAGAAAACATTTTTTATGAACAATATTTGCATGTGTTCTTAGAATTCTGTTTTGTAGAACTTTATATATATTCTCAAAAAATGTCCACCTATTTTGATGTAATAGATTATAAACAAATAAAGAAAGAAAACCTTTATTTGCTTGCTTTTATTGAAATGTTGTTTATTTGTTTAAACCACTATTTGATACTGGTAATAAATATTATAAGCTCCCTTAGGGAGAGTATATAGTCGCCGCTTTGCCCGTCCTTCCTCCTTCCGTCCGTCCGCATTTTTTGCCCTGGGCATAACTCTGAAACTACAAGAGGTATCAATTGAAACTACAAAAGGTATCAACAAGGAACTTTGTAAGTAGAAAGTATATAGATCTCTTTGAGTAGAAGTGCAGTGTACAAGAACCGTAACTCTGTCTTGTCTTATTTGGAATTATTGCCCTTTTTCAAAGTTTATTCTACCTATCCGGAGAGCATCGCCCGATTCGACCGGCCCATATTTGTTGAACAAAAATGTCACTCAAACTTCGACCAAGTCCAGCTGGATTAGCAACACAGGTCACTTGATTGCCTTTTTCGAAGCTAACCACTACATCAATATGACATTAAAGCGTTTTTCGTGCATTCTAAAGTGAGTTTAGCTCTTACGATATTATGACGTAATATTGACTACCAGAGCGACAAGCTATCTATTGCTTCGTATCATTGTTATTGACACATTCTCTTAAGATGATTTTCTTATAAGACAAACTACAGTTTGTATAATATCATCGCAGCTCATGAGTTAAATGAAAGTCACGGGTGAAAAAAGTCAAATAAAATATCGGCCAGATTAAGCCGGGTTCCTAACAAAGTGTTTCCGCTCCAGTATCCTAACCACTACACGTTATTCCAACCACAGCATTATGCTCGATTTATCAAATTATATAACAAACTTATAATACCTTATTCTCACTTTCTTTCGTATTAATGCTAAACTGTAAGGAAATGTGAAAAGACCAACACTTACATACACTTTTTCTAATTGCTCCAATTGAAAAATCATATACTACTTTTTTCTTAGGTAACTTATGCTTGATGGACATGCATACCTGCATACCTAGGACTGAAGATTGTTAAAACAATAACATATAAATAAACGCTGGTCACTTTCACAATTATAATATTTTTATAACATGATAATATTAAGGCGAGGGTCAAAATAAAATATGTATATAAGAACGCTTTCGGTGTCAAAGATTTTTAGGTTGTTGGTACAAGTAAGAAAACGAAATTACCGTTTAAATGTGCGTGCGGATACAGATCATGTTTGCTTAAGTTTGTTTTAGATAAGCAATAATTCTTGCTTCAGAAGTAACATACATCGTAAACGAAGCAGTTTTTTTGTATGTACCATGCCACAAGTTCAGAATGAGTTATAAGTTATAAGATATACAAACATATGAAGAGTCTTACACATCAAAACATGGGATAAAATTTCATATTTCACATATTTCAAAAATTCATTTTCAAACAAGAACACGCTATTAGCATATTGTCAGCGAGTTTGAACGGTCATATATAATATTTCTGTAAATAGATCTATAGCCCCGCAGAATAAATCACAGGCACGAGTATCGGACCTGGGAAGAAAAAATATGACCAAATTGATAAAAGAATACCTGTGTTCATCTTAAAAGTGTCAAAAAAAAAAAAAAAATGTAGATTATGACCCCCTTTAAAAT